ATGAGGGAAATGACATGTTTGTTGTTTTTGAAAGTTTTGCAGTAGCTAATTAAGAAAGTAAGTTATACTTTCTATTTTCATCACCCAAATATGATGAAAGCAGAATTACCTGCTGTGTACTTACAATAAAATCAAGGTAAAAAGGAAGACAGTGTTTTTGAAGTTGTTATTAACAAAGTATAGCACTGGGTGTCAATCTTTTTGAAACATATAGATACCAAATCAAAATATTGACCCAAAATTTCAAACAGGTAGTGGAAAGTGATGATATTCTTGGAGCTAAATGGACTTAAGAAAACTGAGAACCTCACATTTGTTGTTTATTCATAATTACAATGTGTTGAAAACAAACCTGGAGGACATATTATGGCTGACATTTTTGTTGGTTGATATAACTACATATATTAAGCACAAGCAGTTAACTACACTTCATTAGAAAATATTTAAATTAATGATTTGATCAATAACTGGTAAACTGAGACTGTTTTTACAACACATTATTTTGTCTGTGCTACCTTCTCTAGATTGCTTCTCTGATATTTTTATCTTTCTATAATACAGTTTTTTTGGTACTTATCAGCAGTGGAGTCTCATTTAACTAAGCCAAGCTCTGAAATGTTTTAGTTCTTCACCAAAATTTTAATTTTCTAATGAAAATTGGGAAAGAAGTAGACACAGATGTTCCCTCAGGTTTCACAGAGTGCTAGGATTTCCAAATGGTATCACACAGATAATACCGTACAGTTAAGTGCATAAACATCATTAGCAATGACTGCTGGAGTAATTCTTCTTTGTATCCACAGCACTGTTCACTTTATTAATAGAGTGATTAGAGTTAGAAAATTCATTGTAATTGAAAATGTTAATATGTACTTGTTAATAACCCCAGATGCTTAAAAATAAAAAATAATAATAAAAAAAATCAGATCCTTGATGAATTAGTTGCTTTTGAAAACACGACTAAAACTCCTAACTTTCTGAAATACTTCTGAAAATTTTACTCAAAAGTGTTGTTCAGAGTAAATGGTGATGGGGGAGGAAGGATGAAAAAAGATGTAGTAGCTTAATTGCATAGAGATTTGGAAACACGGAAACTGGAAATTAAGTCACGTAAAAGCTTTGAAAAAATTTGGCCAGGCTCCTTAAAGTCTTTTCTATCATACAGGTCTGCACTTCGCCCTCTTCCTTCCTGTGCAGTAAGAAAATGAATTGCAATTAGTGTAAAAACTGAACTTGCACCTGAGGATATTTTCTGTGGACAATGAACGAATGGAGCTAATTCAGATTTACAGCTATTCAGTTGAGACCATACCATGGCACGCAGACATTTTGACAGAGCAAAATAGCTTTGACTGCCAAACTGGAAAACCCCATAGCAATACCAAAATAGAGCAAGGAGTCCTTAAACCCTGAAGACCCCACAAAAGGAATAGATCACAGATTGCTGGAAAATAACGACATCTGGAAAAAAACCCTATCGTATCTACCTGTCCAAATTTCAGCTCAGAGTAGCATAAACAACAACAAAAAAGAGTTTTTTTCCCGCTAGTGGGATTTTGGTGGTTTCACCTATTTTCATCGCACTCTACAAAAAGGTATGATGACGAATGAATGAAACTGCTTTCACTGAAAAACTTTCAGCTCATCTATATGAAATTTATCAGGAAATACAGAACCACCTCTTGCTTTCCACCACAAGACAGAAGCTGATAGAAACTTTATATTTGTATTCCAGAAAATCTGCAAATAACTCATTAGGGAGTTCTTTAAAATCTCCAAAACCCAAACAGATCCTTACTTATGAGTATTATTGTTTCCTTGTACAGCTCCACATGTCTGATGGTACCTCTCGCTTGTCTCTAAAATGTAGATTACAAAATGTTTGGCTCACAATTGGGTGACTTTCCATGACTGGTTCTTTTAGGCATTACACAATACTGAATAATGGTAGCAATAGCATTTACAGTTATTAGAATGACGAATGATTAGAGATGACAAATATAAGGGGTATTGAGAAATTGGAAGAGTCATTTTGAGAGTGCAGAAACTTGATTTCTTAGTTTTAACAATGCACAATAATGAACAGAAGTATATCTGAAGCATTTATATAACCTTTATAATTATAAAAAATTGGACTCTTATTCTGCAATTACTTATGGAGGAGCATACCATTCCTTGCTGCATTTTTTAACTCATGTTGTTTTTTCTTACTTTAATTTTACTGGTCTTCTGATTTAAACAAAATAAGGACAAAACCAGACCCTATGGGACCTATCTGGCAAGCTGTCATACTTCATATGATGTGTCATATGTATGACGTCAATACAATTGCCCATTGCAATTATCTATTATTTTCAGTTTAGTAAGTGGAAGCTGTGTGGGGTGGAAACAAACCTTGAGAGATTTTAATTGTCACCCATTACTATAAAAAGTAGCAGTACCACCACTGAAAGCCACAAAAAGCTTGACCCTGCTGTAGGAAACACTTTTAGGCAGTTTATGAGAAGTGGAGGTGAAATAAATCAAAGTGGAACAGAATTCAAAATTCCTAGAATTATTATCCTGAAGAATTACACAAATAATTATTCCTCTATTTTCTCTGCACACTTTTAGCTCTTCAGCCATATTTTTAGAGATTTTCAGAAGCCACATCACAACTATTGGCCTGCACACTCTTC